TACTGAATAATCCCCTTCCCCCCTCAATATTACAAATAAATTTTTCTAACAAGGTAGCTAACTTTGCCGAAGGAAACGCATGTTAGCATCATGTGACGTGTTTAGTAAGAACAAATTTAGAAAACCAGTGTTTTTTCTTCTGAAAACACATTGCCACTATTAACATTTTGGGGATTTAGATCCTTTTTAAATGTCAATTGTGTTGGCTTTCTTATCTTGAGAGCTCTATACCAATTTCAGTAACAATCTCCTATTCCACTATCAGATTCTTCTATCACAGATTGTCAGACATTGTCTCTCTTGTATAATTCCATGTGAATTTCTCAATGTATCCTATTAGATCCATGTAGGGTGGCTTGTGAATAGAAGACATATCTCTCCAGAATCAAATGTAAAACACTTCAATCTGTGAAATGGAATCAGGTTGTGGGGATCTGAATAGTTTTATTGTTATGGAAATAGAGAGTTGGTATATTTGGAACAAAATAACTATTTTGAATCAAGTCTACTGCTTAACACTAAAGTTTAGAATTCTAGATATATGTGGAGAGCATGGTCAGGGCATACTGATTAATCCACGGGGCATTTCAGTTTGGATTACTTATACCCATGCAATAATTTTGGGGAAAAAAACTATTCAGATGAACCAAAAGGGTTTAAAAATTGACTCATCAGTAAGTCATCAAGAAGTGTGCAAAATAGCCGTTTTGTCAGAATAGTGGAGGAGCTCTCTTGAAATCTCCTCACCATGACAGTCCCCCCCCCTCAATTCATTTGGAATATGTTTATTTTGTATGTTTGAAGTGTCATACATTTTTTTTTCTAATTTTTAAAGAAGTCCCTTACAGCATGTGCTCATCACTTTTGTAAATTATCTTTTTTTAGAACATTTAATTAACATAAAATAAAGTGAAAATTCTTTAATAATTCCAGACATCAATTACATAAATAGGTGATAGATAGCCTAGTGCATGTAACTGTTCAAGGGTTGTTATTTATGCTTTACCTCATTCTAGTTTCTTATCGATCTTGGTGAGGTAAGTCAGTTATTTTGTGGGAGTTGACATGGAAAGAGCATTGAACTCTGTGCCTTGTTTGCTGCACACTTCCCCTCCTATCTTCCCTCACATCTCTCTAACTTTACACCAGCAAAAATAGGGTATAATTATTATAGATACTAGGGGTTCAACTTTAATGAGAACATGAGATATTTCTGAGTCATTAGCTGATTAAGATCAGTAACTTCTGACATGCTCTTACGTAAATTACCTAAAATTAAGAATCTCTTTTGTTTTTAAGATGCTCTTTGTGTATTCGTGTGTGAATCATTATAAACGCCTCTCTACAAACATCATTTTGATAGTCTAGTAGTCTCTAGAGAGCAAAAGAAAACGGGGTGGAAGAGAATACTGAGAACAGACAACAGCTCAATTAGCTTGCTTTTTGGTGGGTCCCTGATCAGATCTCACACTAAGTTTAGTTCACCTTGTGCCAATACAAAGACGTGTGCATATCAGATGGATCCGACCCAAAATGGGGGGTCCAGATCCACAATGCAGGCCAGGATCCCCAGACGTTGTTAGACCTCATCAGTGAGGTATAGTTGATACCCCTCTAGACACCACGACCAAGAGGTTCCACATCTGGATTACTCTTGAAACTTGAGGAGAGCAAAAACAGGGTGCAAGAGAATAGTAGTCTCCATATCATAAAAGAATATCTACTAGACTTGTGTTTTGGGTTCAAACATTTGGAGTTTGGGGTTCAAACAAACCTTCAAAAAAAACAATCAAGACAAACCAAAATGACCAATCAGTGTACTGCAAAAAATACATATTTTACAGTACACGGATAGGTGTATTTTCATTCTATTTGGTTCACAGAGAGAATAAGTAACCAACAGAGGGAAAAAGAGGAGAAGCAGTAAAAATAAATCTTTATTTATTAAACATATAATGTATAAATATAGATTTATTTTTTTTTCTGCTCCTTCTGCTTTCTCCCCCATTAGTCATTTCTCACTTGATCTGTGAATAAAATCAGCATTTAGTGGCTGTCTGCTAATCATCAGTCATCTTTTTTTTTTTTTTTGGTGCCACGGACGGACTTCAAATCACAAAACAAATTAAACGATTTTGTCTATTGTCTCTTTGATTTTTTTTTTTTGTGATTCGTCCATATAAAATTTTGGAGTTTGGGATTTAGAACCAATCACCGGTCACACAAAGTCCGTTGGAATTGTATTTCATTTTAAACTGAAAGCACAAGTCTAATATCTACTAATATTTTACAGCTGATACATTAACAAACTATACAGCGTATCCCAAGATCAATGAATGATCTTTCCAATGTGTTGACAACATGTAATGCAAAGCTTGACATTTTCTGTAGCATAATTTATTAAGTTACGTTTATGAATTTGCACTGTACGGGGCACTTGGTCAATGCCTAAGATTGATTGTGTACGATAATATTCTTGTTATGTTATTAATTTAGTAGCACCTTTTAGATAAGATGCACAGTGTTTGGAAGACCATGCAGAATCCTGGAATAGCGATAACAACTTTCCATCTGTCCAGTTCTTTCCAAACAGATTTATTGCTCACAGAGTCAAGAAGTCTGTTCCCTTTTTATGGTTTCCCTGTTGTATGATTGGCAGCAGACGTGGCATTTTTGGCACCTATTTGGTACAATCAGGATTGAATAATGGATAGCGAGAAGTAAGTGTTATCAGCCTAGTTTCCATGCAATAAAGGATAATTGGCCTGTGAATATATGAATGCTTGTGTGGGCGTGCGTGATAAAATAAGGCATTTCAGATTTGTCTTGTTACTGAGCTTCTGCTGTGTGCAAGGGCATTATAAGATTGAACACCTTAAGAAAAAAAAACCTTCTAACTGTTTTTTTATTGTTATTATTCTCAGCATTCTTTTGCATTAACCACAAAGGCTGTATTTTTCTTTTTCTTAATAACATCACCTTTATACAGGCTTGATGTGCCTTCCCCTTTAATTCAATATTATATTTCAGTATTACAAATCCACCCCCACTGTCCATATAATAACCAGTCCATCAAAATCCTGTATCTACATGCCTGCAGCTCGCATGTTCACCTATCTTCTGCCCTACAGAACCCCCCACTAACTCTGTATTGAATTTTCCGACTGGCGCACAAAGTTTCACCCCGCTGTGCAGGTTTTTCAGTGATACTGCCCTTTCTTTGTTGCCTGATAAACAACGTGAGCTTTATAATGTCAGATTCACTGTATATCTATGATTATGTCTTTTCTCTGTGCCTCTGCTTAATTAATTCATGTCATTATGTTTGAATTGTACATAGATGGAAACTCTAATTCTCATTGTTGTTGTTGCTTTTTAACCTTCAAATAAAATATAATGATTAAAAAAAGGGTAGGTGAGGAGAATAGTGCGCTAGAAACATTTTCTCGGGAGAATGTGTGACTTTTCATCATCTTGTAGTTGTAGGTAGTCATTAGCCTATTTTGAATGGTTTCACCTCATTTTGGCACAACAGGTAGGTGTTCTGTGACACAAAGTCAACAGGTGATCCAGGGCAGATTGGCAGTTGAGTACTGGCGATGCTTTCAGCCATGTTTTGGAAATGGCTTTACTTTGTTATATAAATGAAAGTCATTAACGTATTTTTTCATATTGCATACATTCTACAAAAAAATGAAATTGGACACTAAGAATTAGCAAAAATACTTTCATTACTGCTATGCCACATCTGTTGGAAGGTGGCTAGTCATAGAGGGGAGGTAACCATAACTATCGCCCATGTTCCAAAACAATTCTTATCGATCAACAACACACTGTATAATGTTAACAACGATTGCTAGTGTTGTTTTATTTGTGCTGATTACAGTGCTGATATTTTGAAAGATCTGACATATTATGCAGTGCTGTATAATGTGCAGACAAATTGTGTAATTAAAGCGTGACAATTATTAGTGATCAGGAACAAATAGTAGATTATTGTGGATTATTGTTACACGAGCGTCACAATGGGTGTTGTATAAGGAAGTTAATTGTGGCAGCAACGTCCATGCTTTCAGTGTAAGGTTGTCATATGTGCGACTGATGAGTATTAACATAAGCTGTATCATGTGATAAATGGTTAAAGGGTAACCTTTTTAACGCCTTAAGGACACATGATGGAAATATTCCGTCATGATTCCCTTTTATTCCAGAAGTTGTGTCATTAAGGGGTTAAAGGTGGAAGTCACCAAATGTATAGAACATATGTGAAAAGAGGGGAAAAAGAGAAGTCAATGCCACAAATTATACCAAAGCAACTAAAGGGAAACTGATAAAGGAGAATTGGATGTTAAACGGGAAAAGAGCAGTTCTGTTTCATTTTTTAAAGAAGCATTGTGACCAATTGAAGAGGGTTTGCAACCCCAGCCAGAACGTTCTTTTAAACATTTTCTTTACTTGCATACAACATTTTATTGTGAGCACTTATCTTAATGAGGGTAGTGGTATGATAGAAAGAACCAGGGTGCTATATGGAAAATATTGGTTACACCACCAGATTCATGCATACAATATTGAAAAATCCAAAGCACACCAAAGTTAAACTTGCACACGAAAAAGATTTTACAAAATAGAAATTTGATGAAAATAGTACAAGTAAAGTGCAAACAGTAAATAAGGCATGCAAATGAAGAATGACATACCTATTGTACATATCAAATTCAAAGATAAGTGCTCAATGAAATAACCCACATACCCATAATAACATAGCGATACTAACTCAGAGCAGGAGATACAGCAACCCCAACGTTTCTGCACTAGACTTCCTCAGGGGAGATCTAAAACCTAATGGTTCCTGTTCCTATTTATATCCCATTAATTCAAAAACAAAAATACAGGGCAATAATTGCCTAAGGATTTGCAGGAGTGTTAGGAGAGCCGGGAGTGAGACCAATAGTTCTATTTCGTGCGTAGACAGACTTCCGGGTTTTCAAAGACGTCATCTCGTATTCGCGAAGTCTGACGTCATCAGCGTGTGACGTCAATACGCATGTGATGTGTTAAACGTGCTTCACGCTTATAGAACGTGTTACTAAAGTAATACACCGAACTGCAGATAGAGAATCTAAGCGCAATGAGGTAAAATACAGACACCACTTAATTCAGTCTACATTATTTATCTAGGGAGATATCCAGGGATCATTCCATCCACCAAGGGTTATTTAATTGAGCACTTATCTTTGAATTTGATATGTACAATAGGTATGTCATTCTTCATTTGCATGCCTTATTTACTGTTTGCACTTTATTGTACTATTTTATCAAATTTCTATTGGCATATAGCTGGCACTGAAATTAAAGCAGAATAGTACTTGGAGAAAAACTGTAAGATGCTGAAACGGAAAGTACCGAAAAGAGACAGCAAGACAGAAGAGATGACAGGAGAGGAGATGCTGAATAATCATTAGAAATAGAAACAAGAAAATAAATAAATAACATTATTACGGCACAACTCCTGTGAAGCAGGACACCATTGGTTGGGGTAAAAAGGGCCAGGCCAGTGAAGGAATCATGTCTGGTTCATCCTAAGAATAGGCAAGTCAGCTTGGCATGAATGCACACCAGGTTGACTACCAATTATGCTGGCTAACCTGTAAGGGCACTCTGTATGCTCCTTAGTACCTTGAGCACAGCACAAGCGCTTCTAATGATGTGCTCACCCTACACTTTCTGTGGACAGTTCCCTGGTGTCTTCAAAAGGGGAGCATCAGGACTTTCCCGCCTGTTACCGAGATTGTTGGACACCTGTTTCTGAGTCCATGATCATGAGAGTAGTAAAGAAGGAGACAGCTTATGGAGAATTATCAGTGAGAGCATGTAGTAAACATATTCCATCATCACTTCTAACGAGTACTGAAGGATTTAACAGCCTTAAATAAATATATAACAATGGTGCAGGTGCACTGTACAATCAGTTTTGGATATTATTAATCTATATGTAGTTGTTCTACTTTAATTGCAAAGTCGAGGCCTGGTAACAAACAGTCGCAAAAAGAAAGAAGTTGAGAAACATCATTACTTATACATTCCAACATGTCCCGCAGCACTGTGCAATGGGTAAACTAAACATATATAACTAATTTAAGAAGTGCCTTAAAACCCATCTCTTTGGGAAAGCTTATGGCCTCCCAGACTAACCTCTACCTCACATACCTGTCTCTTGCTCTCTCCTAAAGGGCAGCACTCTACTTTCTCCTCCAGCTCTGCTTCACTCCCACCTAATTTGATAGCTATTTCCTGTCCTATTGTGTTTTATACCCCACCTCCTATAGAATGTAAGCTTGTTTGATCAGGGTCCTCTTCAACCTATCGTTCCTGTAAGTTTTTTTGTAATTGTCCTATTTATAGTTATATCCTCCCTCTCATAATATTGTAAAGGCTGCGGAATCTGTTGGCGCTATATAAGTGGCAATAATAATAATAACTGCAATATGGCATGCTTGACATGAATGAACAAAAGCTAGTTTTTGATGAAATGATAGCAATTTAGCAGAGCTGGGGTAAGTCTTTTCTGGAGGACATAAAAGACCATTCTAGACTGATGACTTGAGATTAGAAATGAAAAATCTGAGAATACAGTTGTCATTATATACAGTAAAAAATAAATTACAGCATGTACGCAGGATTTCCTGTAGGCATCTGTAAAAATAATTGTCAAAAAGATACATATTGGTTATAAGAGAAAAAAATGGGTGGGGGACAGTTAGGAAATATTGTTTATAAAAGTGAAAAAACGAACAGATTATTGATTTTTCTAGTCCAAAACCAGATACATGCCAGGCTCACACTTGAGAATATTAGCTTGTGTGCATTAAAAACATAGTGGACAGTAATCACATAAATGGATATGTCTTGAAGATAATAGGCTTTGTTACTATGGACGCTTTTCTGTGTGTCAGCCAGTAACCATAGCAACATAAAATATTAAGATGGGATAATTTGCGCTCTTAGAAAGCATCCACTAGACATGTGGTTTTATTTTGTAAATCGCTGCTCTATTTTGTCTTTCACGATATTATATACACAGAGATTTGAAATTGCAACATAACTCTTTGTATTACACAAATCATATGATTATCAATGCCTGTTTTTTGTTTTTTTCTAGAATCACACATATGATTGTATGCTGGAGTTATGTAGTAAACATTTATGTTTTATAACAGTACTAATATTCAAGAAACATTATGTTTATTGCTGGGTTTTTATGTATAATTTACCAAAGAGAATATGTTATTCTTATCTTGCCTGGCCTTTAAAATCAAGCCCTATTCCTTCATTATCTTGTGCTGCTAATAGTTGGAGGCGATCGTAACATTGATCTATCGGGTTGTGGTGACAGGCCTATGGGCCACCGGAGCTTAGAAAATAATTTGCAGACACCAGTGATTAATGATCAGCGGATCTCTGCTTCACTAGGTCATACATGTGATAGATAGAAGGTAATATGTCATTGTAAAAATACCTCTTCAAATGCACAGATTTTTATAAACAATTAAAGACCTTGGCTTTTTGTATAGTAGCTGCAGAATTAACTATGCATTTGTGCTCTGCATATAAATGATATGAGCATTCCAACAGGTTAAGGGTTAAATACACAACTCGCAAAACCACCTTAATCTGCACATCCTTTTATATACAATGCACACTTTGGCATAATTATTATATAGAAAGCATCAACGTGACACAAATGCTGTGTGTTTTGGGTGAATTATCATAAATGGGAAAAAAAAAGTTTACACATACAGAGAAGAACATGCATCACACTTACACTAACATTACACAGAACCCCTAATGTGTATAAATGAGTTATATAAATCCCCTCTTGTATTATAATACAGTGGAACTTATAGATATGTACTTTAACTACTTGATTCAGCTAGCTGAGTAATATGTAACCTATAAACCTAAATGGCATTGTCATACTTCCACGATTCAGAGACCTTTATATATAAACAAGCTCTTCTTCCGTAATTATAAAGACATTCTAGATTCTTTAATGGGTAGCTCTGATACATTAGCACTAGTCTCCCTAACGATGTACCTTGCTGTATCAAATGCATGCCATGTAAAGATTTTGTGTAATAAAATAGCACCTTTCTCGTGTAATACGTAAATGTCAGTGCTGTAGTGTAACATTTGTAGAATATTTAAGTGATGACATTTGCATCAACTGTTGGGTGGGCAGCCATAACTAGAAAAGACTAGCCTTTTCATAAAAAGCTTAGCAGAGCAAGTTTACCCTTTCAGAAAACTCCAAGGCCCTCCAAGCACCCAAATCTGAATAGCAATAACAGGCTGTGAGCACTGGGAAACATAAATCCCAAATGCACGGGTTCGACAGGACCGCCCTGATTTCAGGCTGTGACCTGCTGGTTTGCTCCCTGGTGCAACGCAAGCGCATCATTTGACTCACTCGCTCTGCGCTGAGTTACCACCGGCTTCAGCAAAGCTCTATTCATGGTCTGCTCTGAGTGACGTGGGCCAGGGAGGCTATCATTTGCAAAAGTCCATCATGCCCCCTTTCTGGTCAATTCTTTACAATTCCAAGTGTAGTGAATAAATCCTTAAGATGAGATACAATTATAAGGTGTGCATTAAAAGGGGTGACTAGGACAGCAGAAATCTTTGCATTGACTGTGGCTGTAGTGTGACCTTTGAAAAAAAAATGCAAGCAAGCACCATAACCACTATTGGCCACAGTAGTGTTTATGGTGTCACGGGTGCCCTGGTGCCATCCCAGGGTAACCAATTTAGAATGGTTTGACAACTTACCTTGATCCCATGAGCACCCGCATCAGAGCTGCTCTACAGGTGAAGCTGGATGCCTTTCCGCAGCTACAACACAGCCGACACAGAGCCACACTCATTGGCTGAGAGTGCTTATTTAATGCAAGCTCTAGTGGTTATGGTGCTTGGAATTTTTCTTTATGTTTGCAACCCTATTGTACAGTATTACTCATGTATCTTAGAATATACTGGAAAATGAGTAAAATCTATATAAATAATATTGGGCGCAGTGTGTGCTCATTTGCTCATTTCTTCTATAATTGGATAGGTATGTTTCTCACTGAGTGTATCCAATTTACTTTACTTTTTTTTTGCACAACCAGTACCATGCGCTGTTTTTATTGGTTTTTATATAATCAGATATAATCAGTTGAAATGTTAGGCTTTGAATCCTATCTCTCAGTTGGCTATTGCATTGAACAGGCATTCATCCAAAACAAATTGCATAGTTTTTATTTTTTCAAGATTAGAATTTGATTTGATACTAGTAAGCTAATAAGTGAAGTCGACATCTGAGGCATGGAGTGATTGCAGGCTAGTCCGGCTGATACTTGCGTAATGTGTGATGGATTGAGATTTACTGCTGTTTGAGAACGGAGTTATTAGCATAAAGGTCTAAATGCTTAGTGTCTATCATCATATTAACTGTGTATCTCCATAACAGCAGCCATTTTTGCCAGTGCTAACTTACTGTGGAACCTCTGTCTCTAGGTAAACACAATTTAACTATTTTAGCTTGGAAGGTGCTAGCAAGCAATTCTGGGTGGAGACACTTTTAGATGTGATCGTGGCAGGAAACAGAAGTCATTATTTATAAAAAACAAAAATGCTTAAATAATAAAAAGAAAACCTCATAATGCCATGGGTATTGCGCGTAGTTGTTTTTATTTATCCCGTCATGATTTGATTTACTATATTCCATTTCAGATGGACTCTTTAGAATTATACTTCCAGCTCTCCATTGCTTGCTTCATTTGGAAGCTGCACAAATCAGAAAGTAAATCGTTTAAAGCATCTCTTTAAAATAAAAAATAAAAAATTTATTTTTAGCAAACAAAAGTACATTGAAATATATATTAAAAAAGCAAAAAATACACATTTGTAGTAAGAATAGTCACCCATAGTAGACAGGTGACTGTAGGTAGCTATGTATTGGCAAATCTGGCCCTGATCTACCTTAGTGTAAGTTGTATTGAACTATTACTTTCAGTCTTAGAACCTGGGTCTCCTTACCTTAAATATGTTCTATTGTTTTTTTTGATTAACATCAAGATCATTGCTGACTCCATAACCCTTGGATTGTTCAATGTATAAGGGATACTACACTGCCTAGATACAAAAAAAAATGTTTAAAAAAAAAAACAACAACACTATTTAGTAAATAT